GAAGTATTGAGTGAGTTGGGGACCCGGATAGAGCTCAGCACAGCCTTTCATCCGTAGATCGACGGGCAGTCGGAGCAGACAGTTCAGATTTTGGAGGATATGCTCAGAGCATGTGTGATTGACTTCGAAGGGCAGTGGGATCGATTCTTGCCTTTGGCCGAGTTTGCTTACAACAACAGTTATCAGTCCAGCATCGAGATAGCTCAACTTGAGGCTTTGTATGGTCGGCGATGTCGTTCGCCCATCGGATGGTTTGAGCCCAGCGAGGCTAAGGTATACGGTACTGATGTAGTGAAGGATGCCTTGGAAAAGTTAAAGTTGATTCAGGAGCGACTTCGCACAGTACAGTCCAGACAGAAGAGTTATGCGGATTCGAAATAGCGTGATTTATCATTTATGGTGGGCGAGAAGGTTCTCTTGAAGGTCTCGCCGATGAAGGAAATTATGAGGTTCGGGAAGAAGGGCAAGTGTGGATGATGACTCTTAAGTGTTGAACAGCAAAACACAAATCAGGCCTAGTATGGGTGAGCAATTAAGTTTACCAACCAAACTTCTATAAGTGCCAGTCCTAGGCAACAACTCTCCATCATCATATTTCAATTTTACACCCAATTCAAGAGAAGAAACCACAGCTGAAACAGAATCACAATTAAATTCATGAAGTAAATCCAGCAATAAACTTTCTTTGATGAAGAATAACCCCAGATTCATCATATAAGACTTTAATGCCAGGAGATTGTTCGGTTGAACCCTATCTCCATTATATCAGATAGAGTCCCTCAGTTTACTTCGCATTTCTGGAGGGAAATATTGAGTGAGTTGGGGACCCGGGTAGAGCTCAGCACAGCCTTTCATCCGCAGACCAACGGGCAGTCGGAGCATACAGTTCAGATTTTGGAGGATATGCTCAGAGCATGTGTGATTGACTTCGGGGGCAGTGGGGTCGATTCTTGCCTTTGGCCGAGTTTGCTTACAACAACAGTTATCAGTCCAGCATCAAGATAGCTAAATTTGAGGCTTTGTATGGTCGGCGATGTTGTTCGCCCATCGGATGGTTTGAGCCCGGTGAGGCTAAGGTATACGGTACTGATTTAGTGAAGGATGCCTTGGAAAAGTTAAAGTTGATTCAGGAGCGACTTCGCACAGTATAGTCCAGACAGAAGAGTTACACGGATTAGAAGGAGCGTGATTTATCATTTATGGTGGGCGAGAAGGTTCTCTTGAAGGTCTCGCCGATGAAGGGAATCATGAGGTTCGGGAAGAAGGGCAAGTTGAGCCCAAGGTTTATAGGTCCATTTGAGGTATTGAGGCGAGTTGGGGAGGTTGCTTATGATCTTGCTTTGCCTACCAGTCTATCGGGAGTTTATCCTGTTTTCCACGTGTCTATGCTCCGGAGGTATCATGACAATATGTCGCATGTGTTAGACTTCAGCACGGCTCAGATAGATAAGAGCCTAGGTTATGAGGAAGAGCCAGTTTCCATTGTTGACATGCAGGTTCACCAGTTGAGTTCCAAGAAGATTTCTACAGAAAAAGTTCAGGTAAGGGGCCAACCAGTCGAGGAGGCGACTTGGGAGGCCGAGGAGGATATGCGGAGAAGATATCCGCACCTATTAAGCACTCTAGGTATAATTCAGCACTCCATGTATGATTCTAGACATGTTCGAGGACGAATGTTTGTTTAAGAGGTGGAGAATATAACGACCCGATCGGTCGTTTTACTTTCTAGATCCCCGTTCCCCTAAATAATACTCCTCGTATGTGCTTTTACTATTTTATGACTAGCGGGGACGGTTGGTTCGGGTTTGGAAGGGTTCGGGTTGAAATCGGAACGCTTAATTTCATAGTTGGCTTTTAAAAGGTTAAGTTTGACTTTGGTCAACATTTTGAGTAACCGACCTAGGAGCTAGGATTTGACGGTTCTAATAGGTTTGTATGATGATTTTGGACTTGGGCGTATGTTCAGATCGGGTTTTGGATGACCTAGGAGCGTTTAAGCGTTTAAGGTTGAAAGTTGGCTTATTGAAGGTTTAAAAGTTCTTTAAATTTGGTTTGGAGTAGGTTTTGGTGTTATCAAGGTCAGTTTAGGATTCCGAGTCTGGGAATAGTTCCGTATGGTGATTTAAGACTTGCACGCAAAATTTGGTGTCATTCTGAGTAGTTTAGGTATGATTCGGCGCGTTCGAAGCGAGTTGGAAGAACTTGAAGTTTATAAGTTGATCATATTGGTTTTGGACTGTAATTCTTAGTTCTAATGTTGTTTTACATGTTCAGAGGGTGCGAGCGAGTCCGTTTTATGTTTACAAACTTGTTGGTATGTTTGGACGAGGCCTCGGGGGGGTCGGGTGCCATCCGGATGATGCTCGGATCGATTTAGAGCCCAAAAGGGCTACTGGTGCACCAGTTATGGTGTACCCGCATCTGCGAGCATTTGGCCGGATATGCGAGCTCGCAGAAGCGATCCCAGGGCGGAAGAAGTGCAAGGGAGGGGCTGTCTCGTGGTCGCAGAAGCGGGGAAAGGGCCGCATCTGCGAAGGCGCAGGTGCGATATTCCTACCGCAGAAGAGGCCTGGGCTATGGCTTGTAGACCGCAGAAGCGGACTCGCTTCTGCGAGGAAGCGACCGCAGGTGTGCTTGGAGGCTAGCCAGGCCTGACCGCAGATGCGACCTGGCTTCCACAGATGCGGTAGACCGTCCACATAAGCGAAATCACTGAAGGTAGTGAGGTCGTTTAAGACGGACTTAGACCATTGTTTTGACTCATTTCTTTCATTTTCTTGGGCGATTTTTTGGAGCTTTTGGAGAGGGGTTTCCACTTATCTATTTGAGGTACGCAATATCTATCCAATGTGAGTTAAATACATAGATTATGGGTAGATTTTAACATAAAATTTTGTGAAAATTATGGTTTTAGAAAAATAACCCTAGGTTTTGATGAAAATGGGATTTACCCACGAAAATGGTTATGGGATTGAGTGAAAATTATATATTTGAATTCGTGAGGTTATGAGTAACAACTTTCTTCAAATATTCCCGGAATTCGGGCACGTGGGCCCCGGGGGTGAATTTTAAGAATCTTCTAATTTGGGTTGGGGAATTACTCTAATAGCTAAATCCTTAACTTATGAGCGTATATTGATTAATTTATACAATATTTGCCTAGTTTCGGATTGTTCGGCACCGAGTTGAGGGTTTAGGGTGAATTTGAGGCCGGAAAGTGAGCTTTTAGACAAGGTAAGTCTCTTGTCTAACCTTTGAAGAGGGAATTTACCCCATAGGTGCTTTAAATTGCTATTTGTTCTAATTGTGGAGGCTACGTACGCACGAGGTGACGAGAGTCTGTGCGTAGCTACGAATTATGCTTATGTCCGGGTGGTTTAGGACCCGAATCATGAAATATTTATAATGTTTACACCCTACTTGTTAATTAAAGTGCCTAAATTATATTGGAACTTGTTAGAGGAATTGTAAAGGACTGAATTTCACTCACTTGAGTTTTAGCGAGTTATTTGATCGTTAATGAAAATTGTGTTTCGTTGTACGTTGGCCTTGGAGCGGGCCGAATGCCTCGGCAGTAGATAGATGCATCTATGGTTTATGCCGCTCGACCCTCAATAGTGTACACATTATTCTGGATCGGGTCGTACGACCTCAGCATAATCGTGCGTAACACTCGAAGTGTAATCATATATTTGATATCCTTCCCTGGCTTGAGATGCAAAATTATATAAGATAGAAATTTATTTGGAACTTACCTTGTGTGAAAGGATATTTACTTTCTGCTTGTTATTGAGTTATTTTTATCATTTACATAACCTATGCTCATTTAGAATTCTGTTTTTCTTTACTATTAGCCCATAGTAAGTGTCGATGTCGATCCGTCGTCACTACTTCTTCAAGATTAGACTTGATACTTACTGGGTACATATTATTTATGTAATCATGCTACACTTCTGCACTAACCGTGCAGGATCTGAGGCAGGTGCATCTGGCGGTCCTACCGACGCGCATCCCAGATATCCCGAGGCCTAGTCGTGAGCTACTTCCTGAGTCGTTCTGCAGCCCCTGGAGTCTCTCCTTTGTATTTATATTCTGTCTACTTTATTTTGGACAGTAGTTAGAGTTTTGTATATTTTACTAGTTGATCATACACTTGTGATACCGGGTCTTGGCACACACACTAGTATTTATAGTCGAACTTCTTCCACGATTTTCAGTTACAATTCTTGTTCAACCCTAGTTCAAATCTCCATTAAATGACTTCAAATTTTATATACAACCTCCTTATACTATTTCTAACAAGTCAAAATGACACTCATTTTAAATTTCTCGCAAAATCAAATTTGAAATTTAAACCACTTATTTAAGCTTGTTCAACAATAGTGGACCAGTCCAATCTTCATTAAATGACTTCAAATTTTATATACAATCCTTATACTATTTCTAACGAGTCTAAACAACATTCACTCAAAATTTCTCATAAAACCATATACAAAATTTAAACTCACTTATTTAAGCATATTCAATAGTGGTGGATTATCATAAAAAAACTAATTTTTAACACCCAAATAGATTTGGTTTATTGAACTAGTGTTTGAGTCACAATTACTTATTCGAAAATTAGATTTAAAGCTTGAGCATTTTTTTAAAAAAAATGAATAGTAATTTTGAGAACCTATTTGGAGTTGGATGTAAAATCTTAACCTATTATTTTTGGGCCACAGCTTTGGAAAGTTAAATATATGCCACTTAGTTGCAATATATGTGTGTGAGTTGTATTTATGTGTAATTCCCCCAAAAATACACTTAATGATTAATATCTAAATAATTAAGATTCACACTTTAAAAACAAGCACACTCAATATCTGAGATTTGAATAATTAAGATTTAGACCTCATGAAACCTAAGAGTCGCCCTGATCCGTCCCATTGCCATTCCCCACAAACTAATACCATTTTTCCCCGAGAGCTCCCCACCTTCCTCTTTGTGACATCATAAAATAGGTTGAAATTTGAAATATTTACATTGACACTGAAACAAAACTTAAGAGACAATCAAGACATTCCTATCAAACAAAGATTAATAGTTGCATTTCCATACCTAGCTTGGAAAACAAATACAAGAAAATTCCTCTTCCTCAAAATTCTCAAGAAAGTAATCAAATTTCCCACACTCAATCCACCTAATAAGCCTTAGCAAGAATTAAAAGACATGAACATTGTTTGTCTTTGAGACAGCATGACTTCTACTTCTAGGAAACTTCAAATCATTCTTCATTAACATCATATTAACATCTTCTTGATCTCCTAAAACATAAGGTTTATCTTCATCAATTCTTCCCATTCCAACACTAACACTTCTAGGCACTTTTCTTGAAGGCATTTGTTGTTGCAATTGTTGTCTTATTTGTTGTTGTATGAGTAAATTCAGTTCAAAATTCTCTCCCATGTTCCTAGCTGATGCTGCTCTAACAAGATCTCTAAAATCTTCACTATCATTTGACCTTGACGATGTAACACTATAACTCTTTGGCAAACTCCTAGGATTTACTACAGCGTAATTATTCATGCTTCCCACGTAACAATCTCTTGCTTTTATTAATGCCTTCCAAGGTAATGCAATAATTCGCATGAATCTGTTCTGGCCGTGACTCCCTTTGCTCTTCATATTTGACTCTTTTTTTTCTTCTTGTTTTTGGTTTTTGTGTGTTATGAGAATTAAGATAGAGCTAGGTGTCTTGCTGGAAATTTATAAATATATGAGAGAAATGTTGAAGATTTTTCGAGATGAATGGTTGTGAAGAAAAATTCTAGAAAACCAAATTGGAAAAGTAGGAGAATGAATGTTGAATGATCTTCTTTCTGCTGCTTAGATTTGAGGGTTTTTGTAGGAAAAGTATGAATTTGACAAGGTGAGTGTGGACTTTTCTCTAGCCCACCGGATAAGAATATATTATATTTGATTGGATTAATTAAATGGATAAGAATTGACGCGTCAATAGTAAGTTTCGCAACATTTTGTTGACAGCTGATATTTTTCTCAACTTTTAAGTTTTGAATTGTTCTTCTTTGTCCAATTAAGTCTGCCTGATGATTCAGCGTTCCCATCAGTTTGATCTCAAATTGGTCTTAATTTTCAAATGTTTACACTGATAATTATGGAACACACATATATGGTACAGATAATTGAATTGTTTGGTGCCTATAATTATTCAATTAGGTAAAGAAAAAGATAACTCTCTAACTTATGAACTACAGTTACCACTTGTATTGTTATACCCGTTCTTTTATGTAATTATTGTTTGACCCTTTCTTTCATACCTTTCATATAGTCTGTCAATTTCTTATTTTAAACGATATTTTCTTTACATGCGCCTACACCCCTAATACTCCCACAGGATAATGTTTACACCATATTCAGTAGTCAGCATTAAAAAAATTTACTGTTACTCCTTCCGTTCACTTTTACTTATCATGTTTCATTTTTCGAGAGTCAAACTAAATAAAATTTGACTAATATTTTAACATGTATGTTTTTACCTTATTAATATAAGAAAAATTATAAATTATAGTACTTTTTGTATAGTTTTTAATATTTAAATTTAAATTTTAAAATATTAAGAAAAACTAATCCTATTTAGCATCAAAGATTAGTCACTTCATTTGTTGTTTGTTAAATATAACAAGTAAAAGGTGAAGGGGGAGTAATAGAATTCTCCACTCTAGCGAAGAAAAAAAGATATGTCCACTTTATTTGTGTAATTCCTTCATAAAACACAAATATCGAATGGTCCGGGGCTGCGAAATGACAAATTAGAGGCCTAATGCAAGTTCCAATATAAAAACGACGGGCGCCCATTAATCAGGCCATAGGTTTGTTTTAATGATAGGCCCAGGTCAAGGGTTAGGTAAATTACACCCAAGAACTAACTTAAAGCTAGGGGTGAGTTTTTCATTAGATTAATTAATAGGATATTTTTTTAATATTGATAGGACTTGAATAACGAAAAAAGAGGATTAGCATAGGAAAAAATATATATCGATAGTTCATGAATTTCAAATATCAGATAGCATGTTGCTTTAAAGGAAAACCTCCTACATCATTTGCGTTAGCCATTTTTTTATTTTTATTTTTTACAGGACAGAGCTAGTAAATCTATTGCGGATTCAATCGAACCCAATAGCTTTTAAAAATTTATTAAATATATAAAAATTATTAATCTAAAACCTAATAACTTCAAAGGACTAAAATCCCGAACTCATAAGTTTCAAATCATACTTTCACTTCCGACTGCGCGGAGGGTGGGGGTGGGGGCAGATTGAGGGAAGGGGATGACTGGTTCTTTACCTTTATACAAAATAGCAGTTTTAACTTTCCACACTAAAATTACCAGCACCAATAAGTTTCATGTTCTAAAATATAATATGCCAGGTGAAAATTGACCTCGAAAATTAAAATTAAACAACAATTTCAAACAGGAGGACAAGCTTTTGGTTCAAAACTTCTAATAAAGTTCAATGTTTGAACAATTTATTATTAAATACTTATCAAGTCTCTTTTTCCAGTATAAGTTTGCGGCTGTATGACAATTTGGTCATAGGAAGAAGGGCTATGACTAACATGACAAACGATAATTTAAATTAAGAATCATCAACAACCTTCATATATACGAATTTTTTTAGGTCACGAAAATCATAAAATAAGAATATAAGATTTTATAAATCAACGATTCCTGTAATTTTTTAAAAACAAATAATTTTTATTACTGTTACTAGCTTGTAGGGCCGTATGCAATGCAATAACATGTGTAAACGATGGTTCAATACTGACGGAAAAAAAAGAAGAAGATAAAACATGTTTTGGTTAGGTTATATAAGTCCAGAAAAAAGAAACTCAAAGATGATTGGGTTTCGTAAGAAGTATTTTTGAGATAAGAACACGTGAAGAGAACATAAAGTAGAAAAATAATACACGTACAGACTAAGAATGCCAACGGAATTAAGATAGAGACAGAAATACTAAAATTTCACGTGCTTTAGTCAGCTGGATAATTAACTATTATAATAGGATTAGGTATTAGTAACGTCAACAATTAACAAGGAATGATAGAGACTTATTGAAAATGTCAAATGTTTCTAATGGAAGCCATCAATTAGCAGCCACTCGGAGGACATTATGTAGGCATTTGGACATAAAAAATTTGAAAAATAAATAAATTGTGGAGTTAAGTTAAACAAGAGTATTTAGAATTTCAAATTGTGTTTAGATATAAATTTCATTTGAAAAAATATTGTAGTCATAGGAAGAAAAATGAATTTTTACATGAAAATTTTGTAAAATCCACTTTTTCAAATTTCTAATCGCATCTTCGAAAAATACAAATTTAGCTGGTCAGCCGAACCGAATTGTATTCGATAGCCAACAATTATATAAAATTTATAAATATATTTTACATATATATATATATATATAATCGGATATTATTTTTTGAAGCGGCTAAAATTATATATTTCTTAATTCTTTTTTCGGGGTGGGGGTGGGGAGGTGGGGGGATCCTTTCCTCTCTCTGGCCCTGCATGGGCCTGAGATCAGCTATTGGGCTCAAGTTAGGTTTCTCTGCTATTGCAAACCTGATTTTACATAGACGAAGGCCCAATGGAGGCCTTAAAGCTGCTAATAGGCAAGGCGTCAGCCTATTTTGCAACGATAGAGCTTGTATTATAATCAGTTTTTGGGATATAGAAGGGAGGGAGGTTTTAGTAACGTTCATTATCCTCAGCTTGAAACATATACCGAGGCGGACCTACGTTGTGGGTTGAGGGATCGCGGGACCCGTTAGCCTCGCCAAAAATATTATATATATATATATATATATATATATATATATCTGTCCATATATATGGGACCCCTTTAATATTTAAGATGTGCCCCAAAACACAAAAAGGCTGATAGAGAAATGATTGTGTTGTTTAAGTTGCCTTTTGTCTAGATGACGTGGGTTCGAAACCTTTTAGACTTAATAGCAAATTGCTTTAATTTTAACTTTTATCTTCTTTTTGAATTCAACTATAGCTTAGTACTAATACATAATAGTCAACTTAATTAGTTTTATTCTCTTTCAAATCCCTACCTTAAAATTAAAAGTCTCAAATTGCAACTTATCGCTTCACAAATAGAAACATACAAATCTTTCTTCAACAATCACTTTGACTCCGACTCGGCAATGGCAACTAAGAGTTTGAAACTCTTCTTCAGTTCTTTGACTATTAGCATACCCATAATGTTGATTTCTTTAGTAAATTTTGATAATTTAAATATACCCTTTTTAAATTAAAATACTAGAAATTTAAAGTGTGAAACATGCTTAATCAAACACCTTCCCTTTCCATAGCATTCATTTTGCGAAGGAATCTCTCTCTTGTTCGGTGCTTTCTGTTTTTTTAGAACTTCTATTTATTTATACTTGAATGATAAGTCATCATAATATTAAGTTTTCAAAGAGTTGCAAGCCGAATTTAATTTATCGCTAGTGATAAGCNATATATATATATAACTTTTTACATAATGTACCAATAAATCACAGTAGTAACTTCTTATATAAAAATATATGGTGTAGTGGGTTCAATACAAACGTTATGATATTGACGTCAACACGTGGATCATCGGAAGCTGGCGAAAGCTAATCAGAAACAAGATTGACGTACACAACAAATTATATCTGGTAAACAAAAAGAGTACAGATTGGTTCAGGCTACGTTTTAAACCAAACGTGCTCATAACTCTGTGATTAAGGCCTAAGGATTTCTGGTCTATAATTATTTTGGCTTAGAGTTATGAATGAAGGACTACTACTCTTCGGCAAAACTAATGTCTAGAAAATAATGAGTGCCACCAACATTCATAATTATTCTTAATACTTGAAGGCTTTGGATGTGATTTTGACTTGAAGCTTTCAATTGGTCAAAATGCTTTTATGATCATTTATTACTAAGATGGTAGTATTTCGTACCAGTTTAATTGCTAGGTAATTAATTAGTGCATTGGAACGTAGTTGTTGAGACATCATGGCCTTGAACTTGAGTATTATATTAATCAAGTTAATTTTGAAAAAAGGAATATTGAAAAAATGTTGTAAGATGATCATAATTACCATACGAAAAGAACGTAGAAATCACAAGTGTTATAGAAACTGCATTGTAACAAATCAAATCAAACTTTTCTATTCAATATTAATTGAAAGTTGGATTATGAAAAAATAAATTTAAAATGGGTAGCCCCGAGTCATTTGAACTATGTTGCATTAACATATGTGGATCAAAGGCGAATCTAGGATTGAAGCTTATAGATTATGAATTATAACCCTTTTGAATTGCTAAGTTTTAAATTAATAATTTGTTCATATTAATAGATTTCTTAAGACACAAAGTTATCGAATTCTATCGAACACACGTACACGTACCTATAATTATACAAATTCCCCGATAACATTGTGAATTGAACGGAAACGATGAAATTTAGCTAGGGTTACATTTGGGGTGAGAGCATGGAGAGAGAGAACCAGATCTTTTCTTATTCAATTGAACAAAAACTAAGCTAAGAATCTTCTAGAGTTGTATATATATATATACAAAGGGCAAAATAGTAACCTCCTATCAAATCTAACCGGATTATTATAAATATAGCTTTATTATATAGTGTGCTGACTATGGCCCAACTCTGACTATGGCCCAACTTTGAGGGGGGTTTGCATCTATACTCGGTTTTTGGGTCACATTTTAACCTATACCCGCTTTGCAAAAATAATTGCAAGCGTACCCACTTTTCGGGTAACTTCAGACATACGGGCCTGAAGTAGCAAAAATTTATGTCTGAAGTTTGAACTTCAGAATGTTTTGC